GCCACCACCGTTCAGACTGCGGTGGCTGGGATGTCCCAGGAAGCCGCACGGCGCGGCCCCCTAAATAAACAGAAAGCGTGCTGGCACAGCGACTGTCACCGTCGCTGTGCGAAACTCGTGGGCTGCGAGGGCGTGGAGGATAGGTTGATGGCTCCTATGTTCACTGTTTACCGTTCCGTTCAAACGTACTCCCAACATTGCGTACGAACGATTTCTTAAACCACTATCTACTCGAAGCCAACATCGCGAGGCAATGAGTTCATACGTGCGATTTTTTTCGGGCCCTCGGACCCCTGATACTTAAGCGTCAGCACCTACAACGAATCAAAAACTAAACCTGAAATCATTGGAACCCCATGTTATCAAATCTGGAGGTCATGGACTGCATGGAGGAGGGAGGTGGAGGTGAAGCTGGCCCTCCAGGGCCAGCTCCGACTTGCAGCGCAACCTGGCGCCTCACCCCGCCTTGAAGTTGTTCACGGCGGCAGGCCCGCGTTGTCGCCCCACAGCGCGCACGGGCACTTCTCGCCCGTCTCCTCCTCGTGCCACAGCCACAACGTCTGCAGCACGAACATCAGCGCCGTCTTCACCGTGTAGGTGGTCTTCGGGCCCCAGCTCTTGCTCACCGAGAAGGGCGGCAGCTGCTTCGGGTAGGCGCCCACCCAGCGCTGGAACCTCTTCGCGTCCTTCTGGAGCGTCGCGAAGGGCGGCGCGAACCTCCTGGCCCACGCCAGCTCGACGTCTGCATCGGGAGCGGGATCATCATGCACTGTCCAGGCCCTCGGAGCTGTCGAAGCCGCTGGCGCCGCCGCCTCGAGCTCCATGGGCACGGCGCCGCCTCCAGAAGCTGACGACGAGGCCGCCGCTGCCGCTCCTCCGTTAGATGCAGACGCCTCGGGCGGGCCAGGGCCAGCGCCACCCTTGCCAACCCTGTCCTTGCTGTTCTCCTTGGCCTGCTGCTTGTTGTAATTCACCTTGGCCCTGACCTGCTCCGCGGCCTTCTTCACGACCAACATGTCGTCCGTATCCAGGCCCGTCTCGATCTTCTCCAAGTTCTCGGGGTCCGACAGCACTGAGGTCGCACCCTTGGTCTCGTGGACCTGGCCTCTGCAATACAGCGCGTTGTCGATCACCTCGTCGGAAGCGCCTGGGATGATCTCCCTGATGATGGCTGTCACCATGCCCTTGACGTTAGTCGGCCTCGATGCAGAAGTAAACCTCATCTTCAATATCGACAGCAACCTGGGAAGCCAGAAACTGTCGAGCTCCTTGAGGCCTCTCAGCGCGGCCATCTTCAGAGCGTTCTCGGTCTTGTTATTGTCGATGATCAGTCGAGCCGCAAGGCCATTGCTTGGGATCATGGCAGAATGCCTGGCAGCCCCCAGCGGCGAGAGCGCCATCACCTTGCAAACCTTGATGCGCTTCAGCCCATCGATGGAGTTGATCGGCATGATGAAGATCATGTCGGAGGGGTTGTGCTTCGCGCTCTGGGGCTCAACAATGTGGATGTCTGTCGTGCCCCTGACTGGCACGAGCGTGGCCCTCGAAACCATCAAACCGAATGGCATGGTGCAAATGACGATCCCACCTGAGGAATCAGAAAAAGGTTGAGCCAAGTCCAGATTTACCCACGCTTCCTCTGACGCCTATCGACGTTCGCATGCCGAAACCAATCCAGAAATCAGTAGAAGGTTTAGATTGGACGCCAAGTGGAAACGTAGGAAGCACACAAGATCGGAAGAAACAGGTTTGCATTGGCACCGCTGGCGCCACCAAGACACCCAAGACGCTTCAAACCAGATTGCCAGTCGACCGAACCACGCTTCTGAAATCTAGTTTAGGTCCTACGTGGCTCCTGTGATTCATCTAGGCTCGAACTGTTTCAACACCTACACCGACGCACCCCCATGGCCGCCCATCCAAAAACATCAGCACAGGACGCGACACATCCTGACGGTGCAACATATTTGCCCCAGGCCCACTAGATTCGGATGGAGACGCATCCTGGCCCATCACGTACATGCCAGGCTCGATGCACAAGGACAGCCAGGAGAATTTCATCTCGGCGATGTCCCCCTGGAGCTTGCGAGCACTCTGCCACGCCATCCCGCGCTTCAGCATCCCCTGGCCGCTCAAGTGTGGGAACTCCTTCGCCGCGTCCGTGAAGACGTCCAGCAACTGCGGGTCCAGCGAGAACTCCGAGATATCAGCTCTGCAAAAGTCAGGCGTCACGCTCACAAGCTTCATGCTCTTGGAAGTCGGTGTGATCAGAATCTCCTTTCTGTCGTACTCCTTGATCAACTCAGTGGTGGTTGCCTTGTGCCAGCGAGAAACCCTGCCAAATACGCTCGCTTGGTGCGCGCGCTCCCTGGCACGGTAACGGTTGAAGAGGTCCTCGTTGATAAGGGTCGACATCCACGAATTCGCGAAACCCAAGAGTTTGTCGAACGCCTCTTTACTCACATTCTTAAAGCTCTCCTCATACAGCATCACGAACATCTCTCTGGTCCACTGTTCCATTGGCCACCGCAACTGTCTCAGGTAGTGCTTTGCCCACTCGTCGTCGGATGCTTCGAGTGACTGAAGCAGGCGCCAATCCCTCTGTATGTCCAAGAGAACAGCCTCCTGCTCGATGTCATCAAAAGCAAGGAGGCCAAGGAACTTCCCAGGGTAGGTGTCGGAGTACGTCATGCTGGACAGCGCGAAGTTCTTCGACAACGACACGACGAAGTTGAAGTGCGTCTGGCAGAGATGGTCTTCCTCTGAGGGACTGGCATTCAAAACAAATCACCACTGCCACAGTGTCCGGATCACCCGACACAGATTTTAGCAAACATTGTTTGCGGGATTCTCTCCGGCAAATCAAGACCTGGGCGCCCCGCGGAAATAGTTCGAAATGGGTTTTGTTCTAGTGCGCCAAAACAGAAACACGTGATCTGAAAGCCAGACTTCTTTAAACTACGTTAGCATGTTGCTTGTTTTCGAGCTAACGGTTAAACATCGACGGGCTTCCCCAGCGGCCTGGTTGGAAACAGCGGCGGATATAGAAACGCCAGCAACATCACGCACAGAGTCATGGGAAACGTATAACTTGACACCGCCAGCTGCAAACGTTAATACATGGTACACCATAGGGTTTGAAATAGACAGTGGAAGCCAAAACGTTCAAGCCAATGTGTGCGAAACGCGTGTAAAAACGTTTCGAAAAATCACGTAAAACATCTTTTCGGTAAAATTACACACGGATTGCATCAGAGCGCCTCGGGCGCGATATTCTTGTTTCGGACTGCAACTAACTTGCGGAGGTTGTCAAATTTCCTCTGGGCCTGCGCGCAACGGATTGAACAAGCAAACATTTGGATTCCGACAATGGCCTCGACTACCCAGGATGCCGAATTTTATTCCTGAAACAAGAACTTACACGCGGACGAAAATTCAACAAACTACCAAAGCGCCTCAACAATACTACGCCTTTTGTACCACCCGCAGCGCACATGAAACTCACAATTCTGCTAGGCACGTGCCCCCACGCACAAACTGATCAGCGCCCCATCACACCCCTTCTCCCAACCCACGCACAGGCCCAGAACGATGTTTTTTTTTGCCGCTCCCAAAGAAATTCCAATCCATTGCCCTGAAACGCGCGCAGACTACCCAGTGCTCGTTTCGATTATATAGATATGTGCCAAAAGACACCCGAGCGAACAGCATGATAGCACGATCTCGAATTCTGTGAGGTAGGACCAGACCAACGACATCACCAGGAACGCACAGACACACATGCTGATTGATGCACCGCCCGACGTTTGTCATGCCTTTAGATGTCAGACAGGAGCGCGCAGTACCTCCTAAGGTCGCAGCGCGTGCGTTCGAAAGCACGTCGCCAAACAAAAGCCATTCAACAACAAACGCAAACGTTACCGAACAAGCGCTGAAGAGATGATATCGCCATCGCGGCAGTCGCGCGAATTACCCCGCCGCCCACCAGCGCAGACATGCGCCAGCAGTTGCTAAACGTTTCGCGCTACGTTACACGCGCATGAACGCCACCACGCCGCGCACGCAACGAATTGTGCAACTGTCAACCCCTGGGCGCGATTGTGGCTTACGCACTGCGCGCGCCCCCGAATGATCACGCAGCATAGCCCAGCCAACGCTTCTCAAGCTTCATCCGCCCACCAAGACCTTGGCCGCCCAAGCTGCTACGCTGGGGCGGCGCGTTCGAGAGGCGCCCAGAAGCGCGCGCCTTCTGCGGCGCGCTCAAGCGCGCGACTGAACGCGCATAGGGCCAGCCGGTTTGTTACAGGCGCGCGACCCTCGACAAATCCAAGAAGCGCCCTAGTGCGCCGATTCGAACTGCTCGCGCGTTAATGCCATTGAGCGCCCAGGGCCGCGCGCGAGCGACCT